TCCCTCTTTTCGTCCCTCATGTTTCCCTCAAATTTTCAGAGTAGGACAGAGTTTCTTGGCTTTTAACTGCTCTCTCATTCTCTGGAGTGCTCCAATTTTCCTTGTAGCTGATTCAAGTTGTATCACAAGTACCTCTGACTTCCAGCTTAACATGAAAGGAAGAAACAATGGTGAGTATGTTCTCAGTATTTTATGGCCCAGACCAGGAAGTGGAATAGAACACTAGTGCTCACCTTCATTGGTGAAAACTTTGTCACTTAGCAATAACCAACTAGAGGAGAAGCTGAGAACTGTAGAGCCCATCTGAATAGCTAGCTCTGGTATAACCAGAACTCTGTTTGGCAGATGACTGTGAGTGTCCTCATGGATTTGGCAATAGAGTGTAATTTATCTGGTGTTTAGTCTGTAACTGTTATAAAAGAATTTATTGGTTCTTTGTAATCAATCCTAATATTTCTTACTCTTAGTTGTTTCTATTTTCTTATTCATAGTTTTATCAGGTATTTTAAAGCCTCTTCCAAATGTCTAATTTCTTTATCACTAATCTTTTTTTTAGCTTTGAATACATTTTTCCTTTTTGTTACGTTTTTGCAAATTTCATACAATATATTCTAATTATATTTAGTTCTCCTCCCCATCAGCATTCCCTCTTATTACCCCCCCACCCCATTCAGTGTACTCTATTAAATATATATATATATATATATGCTTATAGAATCAAATTGATGTCCCCAAATGTCCTTTGATGTGAAACCATCCACTGGAGCCTGGTTAATCTACCAAGAGACACACCCTTAAAAGGAAACTGACTGTCCCCTTCCCAGCAGCCATCAGTTGCCAATAATTCCTCAGATAGGATTGGGGTTTCTTACCTACATCCCATGTCTATGCTGGAATTTTGTTTGCCTTGAGCTTATGTGGGACTTGTGCATGCTGTCACCATTGCCATGAGTTCATATGAGTAACTTCCCAGCTGTCTGAAAAACTCTGTGATGTAATCATCTACCACCTCTGGTTCTTAGAATCTTTCTACTGCCTTTTGATCCCTGAACCTTTAGAGGCAGAAGTTTGATATAGATGCCCAATTCAGGGATAATCACTCTACAGTCTCTTATTCTTTGCACATTGGCCAGTTGTTATTTTGTGTGTTAATCATGGTAAGGAAGCTTCTCTTGTGAGCATTGAGAAATGTTTCAATCTATGGGTATAACAATAGCCATTAGGAGTCACTTTAATATTATATCTACTTAGCAAAATAGTAGTATTAGGCTCTTTCCTATGGTCTGTGGCCTGTCTAGTCACATGTTCCTGGGCCTGATATCAATCAGGTATGGGCTCTATCTTCTGAAGTAGACCTTAAATCTAATTAGAAGGTGGTTGGTTACTCCCATAATATTCAGCCATGATTGTACCAGAGGTCATATCTTGTAGACCAGTTGTTGTTGAGGCACACAGAATTCATAGTTAGGTTAGGTTAATATTTAATTTTTTTTCTTTTGGTAGCATTCATAGCACCTTCCAGCTCTATTTTTTTTCCCCTTTGGTTATACTTTCCTTTTAGGTGTTTAAGGCCATACAGTTGGTCCACATAAAACCGATTTTACTCTTAAGGTCATTTGAGGAGGAGCCCCCTGGCTCCTTTCTTTTACCAGTTCCACCTATGTGAAGATAAGTCAAAGGTCCTGCAAGACCATGGTTGGCTTTGCTTGGAAGCATGGAGGAAATGATACCTCTGTGTTGGCCAGCCTCTTTGTAGACTGGACACTGGTTCAACTCCATCTGGTCAGGACTCCTCAGCCTCCTTGACCAAGAGGACCGGTGACCACCACCATTACAGGACATTTTGAAAGATGCTCATAGTCCCCTGGAACTAGTCAACCTAGGAGGGTATGGAGCAAAAGTGTCCTTTATGTCCCTCTGACAAAATTATTATAGGCCTCAAAGTATGTCTG